ATTAGTGCTGTCAAACGATTAATCGTTTGACAGCACTAAATTAAATATGTTTAGCATTTTTAGCATAGTAGTTTTTAACACATTTACTGTCTTTAAGGTCAGGATTGAGTCTAGATCATAATTATTTTGTTGTATTCTATTGACAGCACTTTTACCAGTAAGAAATAAAAACTAATTTAGCTTTCATTTTAAAGGTTTACACATTAATTGTACAAGTGGGTGGAAAACAATACATACTGTTTTATTAGAAAGTAATGTGAAACGTCTACAAACTTATCTTACTTACTATAATTTTAGAAACATGCTGTCCTTATAAATTCACATTCTCTAAAAGGATAGTAAACTTATATTTTGGTGGCCTTTGTATACACAATAAATATACACAGTACACACATATATACTATGTAAACAAAAACAAAAAAACACTTGTCCCTTTTAGACTTGCACTCTATTAATTTGCTGCTTGTTTTCTTTAAAAAAAAAACACTTGCTTTCTAATCTTTTTGTATGCTATCTCTTTCCTTTTCATTTATTATACAATTAACAAAAGCAAAAAAGAGCTCTAACACTAGCTTGCTCTATTCTTTTTCTATTCTATCTGTTTTCTTTTTCTTTTTAATATATTATTTAAAAAACCCTTGCTACGTGTACTGCGTTAAGCTAACTGAGACTTGTTATAGCACTTGCATATCATTGTCCTCATTTGTAAGTCGCTTTGGATAAAAGCGTATGCTAAATGACTAAATGTAAATGTAATGTAAATGTAAACAAAAACTTTTATTTTGGATGCGATTAATCACGATTAATCATTTGACAGCACTAGTAAAACCCTAACTTATGTGATGACCATTAGACATTTCAAGTGTCCAAATACTTTTCGGTGTCATTATATGTTGTACCTGAGCTTTGACCAAATATGGTAACCCTTCCAGCATCACCACCAAAGTTATGGATATTTCTCTGGACCCACTGAAGTGCTTGGATCTGGTCCATGAAGCCATAATTCCCTTTGACAGCAAACAGAAAGACACCAGTAAGTGAACTACTATTCAGAACGTTCATGCCATGACATTTGACATTTTGATGATTTCAGTATGCTGCAATGACAAGCTGAGGGCTAACGAGATGGACAGCAGTCCTGAGTGAACTGGACAGGTACTGGCCTTACCTGAGGACTTGGTGGGAGAGCCTTCCCTGAGCACCTCCAGAGCCATGAAGCCGAAAGCATTGAGCCTGTAATTCAGACTGACGTACACCGTCTGCGTGCGGGCCGCCAGCTCTTCGGTGGGCGAGTATCCTCTCTCCTGGCCACTCAGCATTTGGAGGTACCCTCCGTGGATCCACACCATGACAGGCAGGGGTTTGGCGGGCTTTAGACTCGGCGTCCACACACTAAGATGCAGACAGTCCTCCTGTCCCATGACCTGCCCGTCTTTTCGGAGGGGCTTCACCTGCGCACAGATGCTACGGAATCGAGTAGCGTCGTAAACGCCCTGCCAACACTGTCCCGCCTCCACTAGGTCTGCCGGGGGTCGCCAGCGACGCTCATCCACCGGTGGTACAGCATACGGGATGCCTTTGAAAGAGGAAG